AATAAATGTCATTCCCCCAACCTACCTGTTCCCATTGTAATGCCTGGATAATGTGTCGTCAATCGTCCTGTTTCGAACTCAACATTGGCGCCCGATTATTGAGCGACCCACGACCCTGAGATCATCCCATGCCCAGCCGTCCTCAACCGCCATTCGTCTCGTCTATGTCAACCTCGTCTCGTCCATATCAGTCTCGTCTCTCCTACGCCAACCTCGTCTCGTCTCTATTAACCTCGTCTCTTCTACGCCAAACTGTGTCGCGTCTATGTCAACCTCGTGTCGTTCAAGCCATGCAGGTCAGCTACCTTTCTCTCTTTCTCGTTTTTGTATGCGTTCCTTCTTCGTCAAATTTATGTTCGTGAATTTTTTGTAGTGTGTGTGCGCGCGGGTGTCCTTCATTAATATTAGGGGTCCGATCATGGTGAGCCACGCTCTCTTATTTATGTCGTACTTGGTCCGCCCAATTAAAATTGGCGCTTATCTTCACACTTGTCTTAGGAAAGAAATACGAATATTTGAAGCAAGCCACGATCACAAAGCACTATATACATGATTATTTACATGTCAGTAAGCAACTCAGTCGAAAATTCAAGCAAGTTACACATCCTCCTCGCCGCTATCGTCGGTGGAGGAAGAGCTCAAAATGTACGATCCGGACAGCTGCTGCACGGGTCGTTTTATAGCTTGTTCCACTTCTCCTCGTCTAAAATCAGGCTCAAAGGCAGTGCGTGCCTGTCACCTTCCCATCAGAAGCTGAGTGAGACTGCCCGCATGTTGACTGTAAGTGTTATCCCCGTTCGTCGCAATAATGCGTCTTTGTTTGAGACAAATAGGCAACGCCATATCAGTGTCCTTTTTTCAAATCGCCTCTTGCGCTTGTCGTACTTGCTGATCAGCACCCCGTACCCGTACCCACGCGAGCCGCTGGCGCTTGAAGATCTACATGCAGCGCAGTGATAGCTTCCGCTTGATGTAGCACCTGTGGCCTGTGCGTACTGCACCTACAACGCCGTGCACCAGCCACCAGGCTTTTTGGCTAGTTTCCTGAACGTCCTTTGCACGAGTGTTTCTCTCAGGACAGGGTGTTTTCTTTGATTAGCTCCTTTGGCCTGTCCTCTGTGAGCTTCAAAGTGTGTCCGCCGGATTGGTCTCACGTTCTGGAGATATCGACATGAGCTGCAGTTTCTTCGTCAACGATTTGCTGGTGATAGCCCTTCACTAGGCGCTGTACTGTGCAAGCAATGAAATTCAAGCTCGCGAATCGCTTTTTCAGAGTTTCTATACCTCTCCGGGGTAAACAATCCTTGCCATCAGACAGCTGGAAGTAAACAGAAACTGTATTGTCTATCGCTCTGAAATGCGAACATCCTGACCTATTTTACGGACTCGAGCGGAGGTTGCAGTGTTTTCTTGCGCTGACGGAAGTGTTCGTCGGCGGCAGCTCCGTCAAAAAGACTCAAACGAACCGACCGCAACTTCTGTGATGGTTTGTGCTGCCATGTCGTCGGATGCAATGGTCAATGGTTATGTTCGGATGGTGAATCGGTGGTTCCATGCCGTGTGGCACAGGCAGAACACCAAAAAATCAAGTTAGAAGGTAAGCGCCAATTTTAACTGGGCGGACCAAGTATAATTATTAAAGTGTAACTAGGCTCTATTAGCCGTGCAAAATACTAGTCATCAGAATACAACTCAAGTCCCTCGTGGAACTCCAATAGTTATTTTTTGTGCCATGTTTTGAAGGGGCGTTTGGGCCCGTTGTTATTGGCAATGTACACACTATAGTATGAGTAGTACAGGAACATTGACGGTTGTAATGATCTGTAGTGCATTTTTTAGTACACATTTTTTGTGAGGCCCGTGCGTTGTGTGTGTGTGTGTTTTTCTCGTTCAGTCATTTTTTTAATCTTTTTCTTTCTTTTTTTTCTCTCCGCGAGGACTCGGGATTTTTTTCATGGAGAGGTGGTATGTTAGGTACCTCCTCCCGTACCTTTTCTAGCTGGCCTGCATGAACTTGCGTACTCACCTTTTGTCTCCTTTTGTTCCGTTGGCCTGGGTAGCTACTTGCGCGCCCATATTTGCCATAGCTACCCAGGCCCTTTATCTTGCCGTTCAGACATGATCTCTTTTTCACTCTTCAATGTAGTCGTTTCGTTCGTCTTGGTCTCTTGTCTCATCGTCTATAATAGATGTCGTTCCCCCAACCTACCTGTTCCCGTTGTAATGTCTGGATAATGTGTCGTCAGTCGCCCTGTTTCGAACTCAACAAACGGATGGGGGGTAGTTTCACTGGCCTACTCAAGTTCAACGGATGAGGGGTAGTTTCACTAGCCTACTCAAGTTCAACGGATGAGGGGTTAGTGTCTTGAAACGTTATGCTTGGAGCAAGAAGTGGTGCTTTACTGCAAGTTTGCCAAGTAAAATGTCCCATGAACTTCTTGTGTGATCTAGATGGCAGTGGCGAGTCAGTCAAATGAGATTCAAGTAATAATGTCGTATGTTTTGATATTTTGGCTGAACATTTCTCAGAAGAGATGGAGAATACTCAGCATCTTCTCCTAGTCTAGAGAAACCATCTCGTAGGCTACATTTCGCCTTGGGAAATCGTGACAGTGGTGGTGAGGTTTAAGGAGCTCCGCCGACCTAGAGTCTCGACTTCATAGCCACCTAGACGCACCAAGAGTGGGTGGGGGAGGGAGAGCAAGAGAGAGAGTGGGAGAGAAAGCGAGCGAGCGAGCGAGAGAGAGAGAGAGAGAGAGAGAGAGAGAGAGAGAGAGAGAGAGAGAGAGAGAGAGAGAGAGAGAGAGAGAGAGAGAGAGAGAGAGAGAGAGAGAGAGAGAGAGAGAGAGAGAGAGAGGAGAGGGAGGGAGAGAGGGAGAGGGAGGGAGAGAGAGGTTGCGAAATTGTTAAAGTAAAATAAAGGGAGCATTGAAAATATGAGATGATTAGTGAAGTGACTGCAGCCTCAGCTATTTGGCAGGAGTGTGTGGTGAAAATGTCACTCAGATCCATCAAGAGACACCAAAGTTTCGGTCAAGTGAATGCCATATGAAATTAACCACCAAGCTGGTGAATACGTCAGTGTACCCGGACCCCTATTTATTTATTTATTTTATTTTATTGGGAATACAGCCCTACAAAGAGACATGTGGAGACAAACACAAAAACAAGACACAGGGGATGTAGAGACGACCTGCCGATGTACAGGGAGCAACTCGACCGACCAGGGGCCTCGGCGCGAGCGTTGCAGCCTGTTGTTGTAGACGTTTATTTAACGTCGCACCACAAACAGGCGATTCCTTTGAAACATGTGGACGACAGAAGGAATGAGAGAGAGGGGGGGGGGGACAGAAGTACGGAAAGAGGAAGGGTAGAAATAAATAAGCAATCAACCTCAGGGCTACACCAAAGCAAAAACGGAATGGGAACATACGATATACAAAATAGCTTCATACATATTGCAAAACACGTTTACTATTCTTCAGTCCGCTAAACCACAGAAACACACTAGCCGAAAAGCATTTAAACGGAGCCATGATGCGCTTTCAGCAGGGCACAGAACTGAAGGTGGCTGGGCTCGGAACGGAGATCAGGCGGGAGCTGGTTACACAGGACTGCGCCGATAACCTGCATGGTCGCTCGACCCGCGTGACCGGGCCAAAATGGTACTCGAACGAGGTGATGTGCTACTCCCCGAGTACGGTCACCAGTAACTCTCACGAAGAACCTGGTGAAGAGGGAGCTAGCTCGGGAGAAGAGGCTCGGTAGAAGAGCTTAATGTTAAACATGTCCTCCAGGGTGGTGAGGCGGAGCTGTTCAAAGATCGAGCTCGTGCGCAACCATGGTGGCAGACCGAGGAAGCCGCGGATAGCGCACAACCTGGCATCGAAAAAAGGGGGTTGCATGGTCCAGTAGCAAAAATAATACTTTGGTGCGAGAAAGGGGTTCTAATCCCCTGTAAGGTGATAACGTCACTGTACCCGCTTATAAGGTGATTACGTCATTGTACCCGGATGCCTATAAGGTGATTATGTCATTGTACCTGCACGCCTGTAAGGTAAGTACGTTATTGTACCCTTACGTCTATAAGGTAAATACGGCACCAGGGAGTCCCAAGCCATATGCCGTGTGCAACCCGCAGTCTAAACATCTAATGAACACATTTACTATCCCCCCCCCCCCCCTCCACCCATGCAAGAACAAGAGTGGACCACGGGACTCTCGGTTTTGACCAATGGCACTCAACCACACAGGCTTTGTGTTTCAGTGGATGTGTGCTTGATTTACAGGCAAATCACCTACCGATGGCAGTCCGGTTGTAACCTTCAGTTGTTCGGTGAGCTGAACACATGTTTACAGGCACGCACGCATAGAACACTGTAATGTAATGAGGAATACGTTTGGGAGCAAAGAGATGGGGACCATGAAGGATGTAATTTGTATATGGGCCACAACCAGCTAAACATGTCTTAGAGTGAAATTTTTCAAATTTAGTTTTCAATTTGACGTTACGGAATGGCAAATAAATAAGGCGGCCACACATCTGACTGCAAATCTCCATGACGCAGCTCACCAGATCAAGGTGTGGGTCGTCCTCACTCAGTAGATGCAGAGTCGAGCTAGTTGTATTCCCGGTGCCGAAGGACGCGCTCAACACCCCTGTATGGCAACTTCCCAATGTCTAACCCCGAGGCGAAGTAGATACTGTGGTAATTATACTGGCAGAAGTTAAGAAGTTAAAAAGTAAGATAAAAAAGAAGTTGTCATCATGTTCCCAAACCTTGACAAGTTGGTAGTGTAGTCCATGTTCCATCAGCTTGGCAAATCACTGTACTTGGCATTGAGATATTGCCATAACCAGACATACATGATGCAGTGATGCGGGTGGCAGTAGTGCTCCTGGGTATAGTCGTCACTGTTGTCGAGTTCAACTCTGGACAATGTGTTGCTGTGCACAGAACAAAAATATAACACAGAAAGTAGATCATTGCATACTGACAGACAACACTGAAGATGAACTCCTATGTTAACTGAGTGAGCTGTATGTTGATCCACATTCTTATGATCGTATAACAACTCAGATACCATATTGCCGGCCCTCTGTGAAAGTAAAACACCTGAACAGGATAGCGTACATTCGAATGGGTATATGTATATAGCTATATAACCTACTTAGGATCTGCATGACTGAAGTAAGTTCACAGTAGTAAAGTGGTGTTTAGTCACAAAATGGGAAGATAAATCTACTTCCAGGCATGCCATGAGGCAATCCGCGATATTCATGTTAAAACAAAATGGCGTCACGATTTATTGAAAGTGGTATAGTTGGTGGTACGAGTGTTCAAAACCATTTGAACTTCATACTGTTCGTCTTCTTTTTGACATGCTCTCTTTCCATCGTCCTTAGCTTTTGTTTGTTGAGAGCTGTTTTGGCTTTCTCCTATACCTCTGGGGGATGCCAAGTGATGGTTTTGAGAGGCTGGTGATGGCTGTGAGCGAGAGTTTGCCGATCGGCGTCGTCCTCGCTATAGCGATGAAAATACTAGTTACTGCGCACCTGGCAGATATCACAACACGTCGGAGCGTCCAGGAGCAAAGGAATCTTGGGTTTTCACTGGAATCTAGTTTCTCCAGCATCGTGTAGCCCACCGTCGGTGAATGGCCGTCCAGAAAGGTCGAACCTGGTCTTCTGCAGCATCTCGCAGTCCTGCGAGGCACACTGAATACGCCTGTCATGTATTCTACAAATACAAATCACGAAGTAGTGGACTTTACAGTGATGAGTCTATCCTGTATGCTTCCAAAGACGCAGGAAATGTGACTGGTGTCTGTACACTCAGTGACCGGACGCCAACACCCCAGTCTTCTCCTGCAGGATCTGTTTGACATTGACATTATGCAGTAGATCGGCATTGACCTGGTTTGGCAGCTATCGTAATAGTATCTGCCTGGTTGGATGTAGCAGGTTGGTGTTTGCTCGTCGTCCAGTCCGGAATTTTCTTGTAACTCACGGTGGAGTACGCGCAGGGTTCGTGATCATCCCTGTTCACTTCAATATTATCAAACACAACGTTCCCTTTGTCACTCATCTTATCCTGAGTACTGAATTTGCTGACAATATTGCACCACACTTGTCACAACCTACCGCCACTGCTGGTGGTGGCGACTGGTTCGTCAATGGCGGTGACCAGGCTGACTGACTAGCTCCGAGACAGCGGCCTCGTTGTCAACCCCGCGGCAGCCTAAAGGTTGATTTTTCGATCCAGCCTCAGCGCCATGTTGATTTTTCGATCCAGCCTCAGCGCCATGTTGACGATGCCCTAGTGACTGTGTGTCATGGATTGCCTTGCCATCAGCGGTCATTGCCGTACACCTTGGTGCAGCCCTCAACAACTGGCTCAGCCCATGGGAGTCTCAAGTGGACAAAGTTGTTGCCAAAGTAGCTCAGAAGATTGTTGCATCGTGGTGTAGGTGAGCACATAACTAGGACTTCCCAGCGCCTATTTGTCCAGCCTGCGATACTATGTGACATGCTGTGCTGCACATTCTTTTCAGCACTGCAAGGCCGGCAGCTGGACCGACTGCAGGGGCCACGCACATGCAGGCCGCCTGTTGCCAGTGCAGCATTCTGGAACGTTCCTTCCTTCTGAGATCCGTGGAATAATAACTTTCTTTGCTTCAAAACAAGTTGCTTACCTTTCTGTTTTGCTCCCAGTGTCCTTACAACAATAACCTACAGCAATGTTTTATTTTCCTTTCCATTCTCCTACCAATGAATACTACGATGTCGATTCTATTTCTGAATAATTTAGTGTGTGCCCGCGCACGCACGTGTGTGTGTGTGTGTATACCTCACTCGCCACTCGAAGTTCTGTTCCCCATCACTGGAACACTGCCTGTTCTTTCAGGACCTGCCATCATCTGCGGATGGGCATTCAATGATTGCATTGTGTGTGTGTTTCATTCAGAATCAGATCCGCTATCGTTGCTATAAGAGAAAATCTGTGGGTTCACATCCAGTGCATTTGTAGATTTGCGTGCTTTTCTCGCCACGGGCGCATACATAGGACATTGTGTGTGTGTGTGTGTGTGTGTGTGTGTGTGTGCGTCTGTGTGTATGGGGATATTGTCGGTATCGGCTTTTGGTACTAATGTTCAGGTCTGTGCTTGCATGTGTGAACATTAAATTGTTCGGTTCTGTGCATGCTATTGCTATGTTGTATATTATTGTATGTATGTGTGCATTTCCACGAACAGTGTAGATGAGCGTGGAGAGTGCATTCATCCCTCATTAACCACTTCCCCTTGAGCTTACGAGAGTTTTTTCTGCGTACTTCTCATTTTTGTTTGTTTCTCTCTGATACTGTATTGATGCCGGTACCTGTACCTCGATGTGTTCCTCTATCTGCAGTCACCTTTAACCTTCGGTCAAGTTAACGTTTATTGTGCTCTATTTATCGTGCGAATCAAAATAAACAATAATAACACAAGTCGTGCTAGAGTGACGACATGTGCGTGTAGTAGGGTTGATGCGATGGGACGTTATAATTAGGTGGAACAGAACACACATTGGGCAGATTGATTAGGCATCATTGATTGTGCTCAGTCTAAACAGTAATTATCTCCAGTGACAGACTGTAGCGGCTAGCCTCCAATAGGTAGCTGGCACTAGTCGCTACTGCTTGTTTGACAGGTGCCGCCAGAACCCCTGTCGTGTCATGCTATAGATGCACATGCCCTATTCTGGGGCATACTGAGGTACTTTGATTTTGTTGATTGCATGTAGACAGCATCCAATAGACTGAATAGTAGTACTCGTAGACCTTGGCTCTTTGTAGGTCAACCACCATCGCATGGATCGATCGGTGACTATGCACTTGGAGGTTGGAATAGCCCGCGCTGAACAGATCTTGCCATGGCCCAGGGAATGAACTCGCTTACTCGACTATCCCGGTTTTAGTTAACCAGCATGAGTGGTGCGATTTGTCCATACCATGTTGCGAGCTCACAGTTGTTTGGGCAGGTTTTGGGCTGCACCACGAAACAAAGCGAAATAACGGGCGTGACTGTAGAGCAAGGAAGCGGCGAGACGGCACTTCCAGGACTAGACAGGCAGTAGAGATGTGTTCACAGCACGAGCAACCTCTCAAACCCTGCCGGTACTCCACAGTTACAAGAAAATGTCGGACTGGACGACGCGCCAATGCAAACCTGCTACATCCACCCAGGCAGATAGCTGCCAAACCAGGCCAATGTCGACCCACTGCATACCGGTATGTCAATGTCAAACAGATCCTGCAGGAGAAGACTGGGATGAAATTGGCGTCCAGTGTACGGACACCAGTCACATTTCCTGCGTCTTTTGCAGCATACAGGATAGACTCGTCACTGTAAAGTCCACTACTTCGTGATTTTTATTTGTAGAATACATGACAGGCGTATTCAGTGTGCCTCGCAGGACTGCGAGATGCTGCAGAAGACCAGTTTCGACCTTTCTGGACCGCCATTCACCGACGGTGGGCGACACGATGCTGGAGGAACTAGATTCCAGTGAAAACCCAAGATTCCTTTGCTCCTGGACGCTCCGACGTGTTGTGATATCTGCCAGGTGCGCAGTAACTAGTATTTTCATCGCTATAGCGAGGACGACGCCGATCGGCAAACTCTCGCTCACAGCCATCACCAGCCTCTCAAAACCATCACTTGGCATCCCCCAGAGGTATAGGAGAAAGCCAAAACAGCTCTCAACAAACAAAAGCTAAGGACGATGGAAAGAGAGCATGTCAAAAAGAAGACGAACAGTATGAAGTTCAAATGGTTTTGAACACTCGTACCACCAACTATACCACTTTCAATAAATCGTGACGCCATTTTGTTTTAACACGCATACGGTCCATTGGCTTCCGCTACTCCACAACAAACGTCAACATCGACATCCGTGGACGCCAGCTTTCTGTAAACACCGTAGCATGTGCTGTAGCATATTTTTTAGAAGGAAGACTTTGAACCTAGAAGTAGCAACTTCGGCGTTATTAGTCAGGAAGTTGGTTATTCCAACTAGGAACTAGGTTTGCCGAGTGGAAAGTGCGACTTGCTCCTCTTGTGCTCCGGATGGCAGTCGTGAGTCAGTCAAGTTTCAAGTTCGGCAAGAAGCGTGTGTTCCTAGTTGGAGCAACCAACTTCAGGAAGAATCCGGGTTACGTTATATCCAGCAATGCACTTACGTTGACATTTGCCCATGGTCCATTGGAAGTTTTGTCCGCAAGTACAGTTGACAGTTGCCATTGCCATTCCCATTGCTGGTACATGATTGCAATCCACCACAATAGTGTCATTGCATACCAACATGCAACCTGGAGTGGAGATATGAAAAAAAGTCTTATAATACCTTCGACCCTTGTGAGGATGGGCTTCGGCTTGAGGTGATATCCTCCGTTAAATTCTCCAACCCCACCAGGACTTGAACCCGGGACCTGAGCAGCACTCCTTCCCTCTTAAGCCTTCACCAGGCGATGTGTACATTAATGCGTCGAATTCGACGCTTTCGACGCACCCACGTGGGGAACTTCAAATGATCGTAACTCTGTCCAAAATCGCTCTATTTCAACGATACAAATATCCCGGTTGAAGAGAGAACTCTCAGCCATCAATAGAAAAATAAGCGACGAGCTACGACCAGCAGATTCAGAGATAAATCACTCGCAAAACAACCCGCGATAGCGGCAATTGGCACGCATTGAGGATGACTCCAAACAATATCAGTTATTCATTCTTTAGACTTTTCGCTGACTGGATCAACTATAATTTTATTGGTTGAGTAGAACTGATCTATCAACAATCTAAAGAAAGTGAAATATGCAGATTTTGGAAATTTTCTTTGTGGCTGGTACAAGGACCATGGGTCCAAGCCTAACCTAGAAGGCGCGGACAGGTTTCCAATCCAAGGCCAAGTGTGAGTGTTTCTTTGCATGTAAGAAACACTGGGTATTCCTTTAATATTGAGACGTGCACGCATAACTGGTATGCATTGAGATACAGACTTACTCTCACACATTGGTGGACTTGGTTGCCATCTTCCATTGCCCTGGCATGTAGACAGGGTTATTTCCATACTATTGTTGGACAGAAAACCTGTTCTGCACTCGATGGACAATGGAGTACCTGGTTGTTTGTCGAATTTGGCAATAGGTTTGTAATTGAAGTTACTGTTATTGAGATCTGGACATAGCGCTAGACACGAAGAAGCATAATTCAGGGCGGTTACTCAGAGTTGGTGAAAATCTCAACGATACAAGTTCTGCAATGTTTCAATACCATTAGAAGCAGACAATATCTAGTTACCCCGGGCTCACAAGTGCACACCGGAGTTGTGTAGCTTGTCTTCTGCTGAAAACCAATTATTCACATTATATCAACAGGTCAAAGAATGTAACTCGGAGTCATAACTCGTAACATTTATCCTTCTTCTTTTCACAACTAGGACAAAGAATGGGTGACATTTGATGCAAGCAGGAATAAGAACAACAACCATCCCCGACATGACTGTGAACAATATTTGGAATGGGAGAGCTTGCGTTCATGTACTGGAAAGCATGCATATTTGGAAAGAAGTGTGTAGTCTACTTGGGTACAGGCCATAGAGAGGTGATCACCACAATCATGGTAAGTAAGTGCATAGCGCCGTATGGTCTTTTGGCTAGGCAGATTAGCCTCAAAGTGTAGCTCAAGTGCTGTAGAATTTGATGCAAGGTGATGATACTGAGTTGCTGCAGGAGCACACCATGGCAAACGAAATTGCAATATTATTGGCAGTTGGTGCAGTGCCAGAGGTCGCCCCAGTGTCCTCCTTGTATACTTGGGTTAATTATTGGCCTGGCGATATGTGCTATGGGTCATAGTAAATGTCTCCAAAAGAGTTTGTAAATTTGTCAAGTGTTGATTTTTGTGTATTGATTTTCTATACAACTATCCACTGCGCAAGCTACTGGCTCTGTACTTACCACACAACACTTGAGCACCTCAGTATATACTGTGTATAGCTAACCACTACACTTGACTTGAAATTCATTTTTTCAAGAATTTAACGATTCATTTTACTAATAATTTACTCCAGGAACTTCAGGACATGAGATGTAGCTCATAATCGATGTCACCTGGTTCGAGTCCTGGTGGTGATAGTCAACTTTGTTTTCCGACTTTCCCTTTTGCATTTCCCTGAAACCAATGGATAATGTATTCTTTGTATAATCGACGGCGTTAGTGAGGCAGATGCACAGGTAATAGCGTAAATTACACGTCTTTAGTTGTGAAAGGCTTTAATTAAACTAAAACATTGTGGGTCTCATCTGAAATGGCAACGAAAAGACACGAAAACGTTCAAGGAACAATGTACTATGCATGAAAACAAGTGTTGCTAAGGGCGCGTTCAGACTACTGATAAAAAGTGACCGATTGGGAAAGTCGCCAAGGTGATTTGATCACGTGACGTTACTGGCACGTTACCGGTGGGAAAGTTTTACTGCGGCGGCTGCTGCGGCAGTAAACTTTTACCGGCAGGAAAAAAGTGCTCAGGCTGCATGCGCGCTGGGAAAAAAGGGAAAATCCCTTGTCAGTGCCGCGGTGAGACCTGAAAACTTCACGGTAACGTTAGTTTGTTATCGGTAGTGTGAATGTCCTTCACGGTTTATCGGCATTCACGGTTTGATGGGGTTCACGGTAGTCTGAGACTAATGGTGTTTGTACTCAGTGCGCAGCTTACTCTATGTATTGCGCTAATTACATTTTTATCTCCACGTAAGCTTTTTAAGTATGATTATTATTATTGTCGTTTGATTGCCGATCATACCGTAGGTTCTACCTTACTAATATTGAAAAGCATGCCCTCACTGAAGAGCTATTGGAGACAGGATTATGACGAGCTCAAACTCATCAAGAAGATCGATAGTTGTCAACCTCAGTAAGCTTAGAAAACAGTTTCAACACGATACTGAGATGCTAGACATCGGTCACACCCCTATTTCATTGTTCTTCGCTCAACAGATACCAAATGTTTTGGAGAGGTTTAATTCTTACCAATTACAGGAACCGTTCTTGTTTGTGAGCTAGTCATGATGGAAGTATTACACTGTGCCTGTACAGTTGGATTCTGAGCAGCAGTACAGGTGAATGGTGGTTGGTTGATATCCAATGTACAGGTGATATTGATGGACTGGCCATGTGTGTAGTTACTCCCGTCTAGTGATGCCGTGTGTGTCTTTGTACAAACACCACCAGTACAATTGTTGGTATCAGTGCCAATCACTACCACATTCTCGATCATTAGTGTCACTTTAGGTTCGGGGTATCCCTGACCTTTACAACTGATTGGGTGCACAGTGTTGCTGTTGTTCACATAATCCGATGTGTTCAATGACAGTATGGTAGGTGGAACTGTGCATAACAGAGGTACAAATACATTGACAAATAAAATATGTACATGTACTACTTTGAAGTACGATGATCAGAACGTGTTTTACCCGTTTCCAGCTTTGTCGCCGCTTGATCACCAGACTAAAGTAGAGGGTAGAGAAGAGTTTATTATTGTGTGCAAGTAATGTCACATGCAAAGATCAGCACAAGCTTCTTCTAAGCAAAATCTAGCTCCAGATACTAGTAGATTACGTCATACAATACTGAGCACACCCTCAAAACATGCAGGTGTCTAACAGCTTGCCAATTTTGCAAACATGGAGTAAGATGGCGGCCAGCCCGGCCCCGACTTAACCGGTATATCCTAAAATTATCGGTTCTCAATTTGAAATAATATAGGAACTCGCGGCGAGGTGGCAGCAGGTTTAGGATGTCAATAATCAGAGTCAGCTGACGCGACATGTTACGCAGGTTTTATTGAGATGTAAAGTGTGTTGAGCGTTGTGCGAAAGCTATTTCGATGCATTTTTATATTTCGCGTCGTTCCTATTGTTGTTCTTCACATTAAATTTACATCACAATTATTTCTTTGTCCACCACTTTACATCTCAATAAAACCATCGCAACATGTCGCTTCAGCTGATTCTGTTTATGGCCATCTTTTTACCGGTTCTAGTCAGATTTTTCATGTGAAATTGTGCCTGGCCGTGCCCCAGACCTTCTGATTACAAGGAAGTGAAAATCAGATTTTCTCAAATGTGGCGCTAATCGGATTTTGCATCTCAGATTTTGGTTTGTACAGCGCTGAACAGTGAAATATGGCCACGGACACACTTTCTGTGGACCGCAACAAGTAGCTCTGGACAACCTGCAGCTGGTATCGTCTGCGTGTGTCGGGGAACTGCACCCACACTACAAATCCACGGACACCACAACTTGCACAAGGAGTTCTAAAATAGACTATATTAAATATTTACGAGAGCATGTCTGAGAATACCAAAGTATGTGTGCAAGTGGATCTCTCCGATTTCGCTCAAAATTTGCAGGTAGGTTCCCTTTGGGGTGTGGATCGATTGGCCAAAGCCCTTGAAAAAGTTTCTGAAGGGAACGTTGAAATTTGCATACCCCTCAAAAATGGCCGAAATATTTTATGGGTCTAGAAACGAGTCACGCCACAGCGTATACGAACAAGCTATGAACAAAACTCCATCAAGCCAACATTGCCTCACCTTAGAAGAGTTCCTGGAGCAGTACCGCTTAGCCACGCCAGCATCCCAGAAGACGAGGTCCATCACCCCCTGACGCCACAAATGATCGTCTTGAAAATAGCCAATTTACAAGCGCTAGCAAAACAGCCAGCTACGTCCTCAATTGGCCAGAACTATACACCGGCAGATAGTAGAACACCTCTTCTAGCGCTGAGGACATGTCCCCCATCTTCCTTTTGGGGTTTTCTTGAAATAAACTTTTTTGAATTTTTCCACTCGACCATGCTGAAATACGGCCAAAGTCATACCTGCGCAGGAAAGCTCGCCCCTCCGCGACGTCTCCTCAGCAATTTCTACTCCAACACTACTCCCAAGGCCGCAGAACAAAGTTTAGTGTTGACTCTGACAAGGAAAAGCAGCGGTGATCACTTGTCACTCCAAACGACAAGCTTCTCCTTGCGCCACCGATAATTTTTTGTGCGACTGTTGATGCAAAAGTGACTGAGCTGAAGGCCTGAGCGCAGTTTTTGAATTTTATTGCAAGATGCACGGTGAGATCGCGTGCTCTGTGACGTAGGATGACGCTTCCTGCATCACGATACGCAGCCATCGATCGCGAACGTGTCTGGAACGCTACTCGGAACAGACCATGATGGCAGAGGTGAGATGAGCTGCATTTCCTGCTTGATCTGCTGAGAACCCCCACAAACTGTCCTAGGAGTGTTGCAATGGCAGCAAGCCGTTGAAATATGCCCCGTACATCATGGAGAGTTATTCGTCTTTCACACTTACCTCCTGCAATCCCGAACATAGTCCAACAGTAAAAGTCCCTAGTTTTCATGTCGATGCTCGACAAAAGCGGCTAGATCGGTCCCTTTGTGTTGACTGGCACGCGAGCAGCACTGGCTGCACGCACTTGTCGCGTGAACTGCATGAGAGATTTCTTACGTCATAAAGAATGTGATTTCATCATCATTTTTACCTGGTCTTCGACCTACATGGTCAGGGAAAGTCCCGGTTCGTAGGCCTACAACACGTCGGTCAGCGTGTTCTTGAGCGCAGTAACAACAAAAGTGTGATCACTTCCAGACCAATGCCACAGCCACGGGCGTTCAAGGCGAGTAACAAGCGCACTTGACAAAGGTCACTCTGAAATTTCGTGAGCCGTGGGCCACGCGACTTGGCATTCTTGCGTCACAAGGCACGTGATTTCACCGTGCATCTTGCAATAAAATTCAAAAACTGCGCTCAGGCCTTCAGTCACTTTTGCATCAACAGTCGCACAAAAAATTATTGGTGGCGCAAGGAGAAGCTTGTCGTTTGGAGTGACAAGTGATCACCGCTGCTTTTCCTTGTCAGGGTCAACACTACACTTTGTTCTGCGGCCTTGGGAGTAGTGTTGGAGTAGGAATTGCTGAGGAGACGTCGCGGAGGGGCGAGCTTTCCTGCGCAGGTATGACTTCGGCCGTATTTCAGCATGGTCGAGTGGAAAAATTCAAAAAAGTTTATTTCAAGAAAACCCCAAAAGGAAGATGGGGGACATGTCCTCAGCGCTAGAAGAGGTGTTCTACTATCTGACGGTGTGTAGTTCTGGCCAATTGAGGACGTAG